CATGGGACGTAGGTCTTCAAACTCAGTGCCTATAAAACCTTCATTAGGGAATTGATAAATTGGAAAATCTTTCCGCAAAACATTATTGTCAGGAATTTCAATAAATTGATATGCCGACACAATATGCAAACGTAAGTCTCCTGGGGCATATCGGTTCCTCTCTCTTGCAATAATAAGTGGAACATGTGATAATATATAAATACAGTTCATTGTTATCGAGTATTTGACTGCTTTAAAATGCTTGGCCATTGTAAGGCCTTCTATAGTGTCCTCCTACAAAAAGAACATGTTGGCAATTAGTCAAAATTAAAGAAAGAACATAGTTTGAAAAATGATTAGATTGTAATTAAATTTTTGTCCACCCATAGAGTGCAAAATGCAGGTGGACGGTTAGTACCAAAGGATTCCCTGGCCTCCCACTGGTGAATGAGTCTCACAACCAACGGTTGGTGTAGGACATCCCCGGATAAATCCCGGATAGTAATTGATGAATTTATGGGATCTGCATTAAAAATAACCAACAACGTACATGAGGTACACTGCTTATAAAATAAACTTTTTAACTTAGATCGAGGGTATGAAAATGTCAACCGATAAAATAGATGAAAACTTAGAAAATGAAGGGAATAAGCCCCATCTAAATATGTTGCATCCGAAAGAACCAACCTCGTGGGGACCTGGGCAGAATATAATCTTTTGACATAACACAAGACAACCTACAAAACATCAACGCACTTCTATTAATATACAAGGTACACGACTGACTTCTCGTAATGGACATATTGCACGTCAAACACTTCTTTTCACCCTCTATTTATCATCAGCTACCAAAATAAATAGTAATTTTATGATAGATCAATTATATAAATATAAGTACTCATTTCATCGCAATAACATATTCACTCTCATTCCACCACCGGAAAAAAATCTGACGTTGGCGTTGTCAACCAACCCACATAAACTACAGCAAAGCAAAAATAGTTAAATCCTACGATCTCTCAATGCTTTACTCCTTATATTTTGCTAAAAACCCATCATCTTATACTGATATATAAACTAATCAGGACCGATGATAACATAAGATAACATTTAAAAAAAATAAACAACAACACATTATAATAGTTTGACAAACACATGTGATTTTTGAATAACAATGAAAATATCGACAAAAGGAATACTACTTACATGCATTTGTTAAAAAATGTAGTGATAAATTATTGATAATATTTGTTTTAAGATAGACAATATTCGTGAATGATCCCTTTAAACCTACTGTTTATGTTGACATTCGGAGAGCAGTTATATAGTGGTGTTTACAAAAAAACTAAAATAGGTGGATCGTGGCACACACCTGTGGAACATGATGGAAGTATACGTTGTTGTTTCCGTCGCCGTGAAGTTTTTGTCGTGCTTCTAATGAGCGCCAGAGAATATTTACCTTGTATGGGTCATTAACGGTGACCGAATTTGCTCTCTTTGCTCAATTGTAAGAATAACACCTGATTGTAAAAAGATAGTCCCAACGATTATTATAAAGGGAACGACAACACTTTCCATTAACCAATATCCTCTGCCAACTTATTAATGTCGGGAAAAATGGATGTGGGTGCATAAAATAGCAATTTATAAATAAAAAAATTCATCAAAATAATTACCGATAAAAAACTCGGAGAAGCTAGGTAGCAGAGAGAAGATTAAACTAACCACCAGTAACCACCGAGTATAGAAAACGAAAACAAGAGAGAGCATGTCAAGTGAGTTTTCAATATTGAGATCGAACAGAGCCAAAGAACGAAAGGAAGCCGAAGAAGGAAATAAGGAAAGAATACAAAAAACAATTTCCTTCCCCCTCTCTGTCCTTTACTAAAATCATCTGCTCGTCTGATATTGGAAAGAAAGAAGACGTTTTAGATGGCATTGGCCAACCAAACTCTATTCTGCTTCTTATTTTGTGTGTATATACCAATTATGCAAAGTCACCATCGCCCAATGACTACACGCTCACAACACGTAACAAACACAATACAACAACCCAAGAAAATTATAATATTAGAACTGATAGGGATAATTCATGGCACCAATATTTAATTGTTCGTATAATAAATGTTTAATAGCTAGTCACCATCCAAAATTTCTATTGTGAGAAATTTGTCTTAGCTAGTCACCATCCAAAAATCTTTATTGTGATAAATTTGTCCTGCTAAAAAGGACACTATGTCATTACCCATTGTGACCTACAAGTATCAATAGTATTTGTCTTACTATTCCTTTCATGATGAAATCAAAAGTGAAAGTTTTATGTTTCAGTAGTGTATTGGCGAATGAACTGGAAGAATTAGTCATTTAGTGTTCAGTGGTTAACCGTTGATATAACAACTCACGATATATAACATACAAAACTTGTATAGTACATTAATTTAAGAATTAAATTATCAATGAACAAAAATAACGTTGATACCATCCTTTAGCAAGATTCGTACAATACATACAAACATAAGGGTTCGTTCATCTTCCGTCTTCAAATGAAATTTAATATTTGTATTTAAGTAGAAAATGTAACAATTAATTTTTTTTAGTTGAATAACTGGTAGAATTAGTCATTATGGATGATTGTCGAAATCTCACTCTGTGTTGAGTTTGTAAATTCCTAATTTTTGTAGGATATACTACAATCATATAACATACAAACAGTATATTTTCAAATTTCACAAATTAATACAATATGTCTAATTAGAATGCATAAATCGAATAAAAGCATCAATTTATAAAATCTCAACTACCAAACATCCCCTTACATTCATAAGAACTACAATTGCATATTTGCATTTGTAACCAATGCTAGTTTCTTTTAGCCCAATAGAGTTTATATAAGAAGAACATGATTAATCACACTTTAATCATATATGTATTTTATGTGACCCTATCGCATTTTCTGTGCGTTTGAAATTCAAATTGCCATGAGCTATGCCTAAAGTCACTCAACTGTGAAACATGTAGATACCCCTTTATCGTCGAAGGATTCCAAATGAAATTGACGCTTAATTATATACCAAAATTTTCATTAAATTATAAGATGTAATGGTCACATTCACACCCCAAAGGTAAGCTGAAATATTACACGTCAGCATAACGTGTGTTGTCATGCGAGATGTATACTAATTTAATTTATGTCCAGAAATTTTTGTGTTTTTAAAATTGTACAAGCGAGATGTTATACCGGTGGTAATTAATTTTGCAAGTGCTACAAATTGACGGATGAATTAGTCGATTACCTTATCATTAATTAAGATTAATCTTTGCATGGCATAAACGAACAGTCTCTTATCCACGTAAGCGATAAACGAAGCAAGTGTTCGGTACGGGAACGACGATCTAGGTTCGAAAGAGCTGACAAAAGTTTTAAACTGAATTTAATCATAATTATGTCATTCTCGTTATTAAAATAAAATCAATAGCTAGAGCATCGTTCCATGTTGCACAATGGTTCCAACTTGATATTTTTATTTTGCATATTAATTGTCGTACGACGACAGATTCAATATTAATTAACTCTAATTAAGTTGGGATAATGTATTCTCTCCGTAACTATACGACAGACAATGATGGTATATACATAATAATACTTTCTATGTCACAATTGCGTATTGACAAAAGGAAGAAAAAAGTTGCAATTATTATGAATATGAATTTACCGACAAATAATATTAACAATTTACCAATAAATATTTTACCTGATATGATTATTCAAAAAAACAACAACCAATGTGCGCACACAGTAACGGACCATGGTTCATGACATCGACCCTTAGTTGTCCAACTCCACGCGGAGTCTTCAATTCCACAAAACAAATCCTCAAGATGAGATTGTTTTTTATACAAAAAAATGTAACATGCGCTCACAGTATGTTGACAAATCGGTACCTAGAATTTAAAAAATTTATTTTGAAATATGTAAAAGTAGGAACATTACAAGATTGCATTTGATCTTCAATAAAATAAATAGTGTTGCATAGAATATCATTGGAATTCGTGCATAACATAATTTATTTTTTTTTTCTTTGCAATGAAACGAACAAATCTATATCTATATATTATTAGCAAAGTCATTCTATAAGTATCATAAACATTTTATACCTATGCCAGCACAATCTTTGATACACCAACAAAAACATATTACTTCAACCACTCGTGTCTCAGGATGTCAGATATTCACGAGGGTCACCCTTACCGCCTCCACCCAAATAATAATCATTCTATGGTGTTAATATCCACGACTCTTAACGGAGAAAACTATGAATATTGGTCTACTTCAATGCAAACAGCATTGTGCTTGAAGAATAAAATTTCATTCATTGATGGAAGCTCCGAAAGACCGTTAGGCATCGACACGATGTCTCTTGCATGGAATGAAGCTAACGCAATGGTAAAAGGATGGATATACCAGTCCATTGATCCTAGCACGTAAAAAGCTTGCCATGGTTTGAATATGCCATGGAAGTGTGGGAGGATCTGAAGAGTCGCTTTATTATAGCAAGCACGGCAGAGGAAGCAGATCCTTGCAAGATGAAGGATTACACAATCATCGTTCCATGCTCGTGCTTTTTTGTAACCATAAGCCCCCAGTTCCTCACCCAACATAAAATGGTAAGTTATTTTATGTTATATCCTTTTCTATAGCAGCGCACCCATGTCGTCAAACTTCCATAATTGGTAAAATTATAACTCTGAATCGTCTGATTTTGTGACACCAGGATATTCCATTGAATTTTACTCACAAATATGGGTCGGAGCTCTCATCACCGACAATTTTTCAATTACCAACGGGAGATTCTTGGATAATCGGAGTTAACAGGGAAGCAGACACACAATCATTATTTTTCACTGATAATTTGCACCAATTTATGCAACATTATTCAATAACTATTGGTTGTGTCCTCCATTTTAAATACACTGGCATGAGTAATTTTACAGTCAATATATTCAACCTCAATGGTCGCTCGTTCTTTAACTCTGATATCGGAAAAAAGAATAACACAGAAGTCATCAGAGAAAAAAATGTGGCCACTCTAAGCAGCAATCCAAAAGATATTGGCGCGACTGCACGTCATTCGATAAAGTTGGCGGTAAAAGGCACAGAAAGAATTCGACAACCAGATGATGGTAAGTACACTATCACTATGGTTCAACCATATTTCTCTTGATTTTTAAACTACTATTCAATAACGGCACATCTTCATCTTCACAATTATATACGTACTAATGTTTTGAAATAATACATTACAGAACATTTCAGCGCGGTCATGAAACTTGGAATAGAGAAGGGAATCTACTCAACTCGAATCCTGCGTCTATCAATGTACGATCCACTCATAAGGTGTAGGAGGCCAATAATAGAAGCCAAATATCCGTCATACATAACAGTCATGACCCGTACACAAATCACAGGCCGCACAAAACCCGTAATACAATTACTCTACATCATATCAAATATTATCAATTGCACACGTTGAATTAATTTAATTAGTTATATTTCATTGGTGTAGCTCGTACCTCGTGACTTCGTAAAAAAATACATTACGGACGAATGCGACAATGTATTCCTCGTTGCAAGGGGTACCAAGTATAACATAAGATTAGAGAGAAGAAGCGAGTACAGTGTAAGACTCATTGGCAGAAACTGGCTTTCATTTTGCTAGGAGCATTCACTACAAGTTGGCGACGTTTGTCTATTCCAGAAAGTGGATTCCATTGATTTTATTTTGGAAGTTAACATTTTTCGTGCTTAGCAGATAATTCATCAGCGCATGAACAAAGATCTGTAGTGGTTTGGTGTGTCTGGTTCGAAAGTTATGTCGGTTACAATAATATACAATACCATTCTCTTTACGTGCTTGCAAAAAAATATGATGCATACGTATGTACCATTCCTGTCACGCATATTTATGTAATAGCTGAGGAAAATTTTAGATAACAAACTATGACAAAATATTGATAATTAAAAATGTTTATCTCAAGAAATATAACTTGTAATTGTTTAAACTTTTTTACAAATAGTTGTAGTCCACTACGATAAACAGGTATAATTTTCACTGGTCGAAAAGGCTAAAGCCAATACCATGATTGTTTGATCATTTATACTCGTACATGTACATACACATCCACAAAATGTCGTGATTACAATCAATGGCTCAGACCAAAATGAAGGAAAAGATGGATGCCAATATAGACATAAAAAACAACAACAGCCACGTCAAAATTAATTTTTATCAGATCGACGCATTTTTTTAGCAAATACAAACAGCATTACATGGGCAAAATACAATATAAAGTAGATACAACCCGTAACTACTACAACCAAATCACAATGACTAACCAACCTACCAAACTGATAAAAGATACCCTCCGAAGGAACCAATATCCTCAAAGGACATTCGACACCCAACTGAAGCCAGATTCATGCCCACCTTGCAATGAGCAGTGGTTCACGGATTTAACTTTCGACGACACGTTGATCATACACGAAGATCATCGTTCGTTGACAACAATATTAAAAAATATCCCAAAGATACATTAAACAACAGAAACACGTACTACCAAACCCCCTCCAACCATGCTCTAGTTCTGAGATCTTTGGATTGCAAAAATTGCAACCTCCATCTGGAAATAAAAAGACGAGCTCAATAAATTGTCTATACTTTCGGAAAGTGTAAAATAAATATATAATGAAAATTTTCTACCTCAAGTACACTTCCTAACTTGTTGCGAAGAATGCAATATTCTCGAGTGACATCATTAGCAACACGTATACTCCTGTAAAAAAACACAGAGATGCTTTAAGGAATGAACTATGCAACCCACACACCCAGAAAATTGTTTTGATATTCAAGAATACAGTGAACTAACCTATCCTTGTTTCTTTCAATGCATGCTTGAAGAAGTTCGTCACAAACAACCTTCAGCCGACGTGCCTCAATGCTAAAAATACAAAACAACACAAATTAAACTTAACAACACACACTGAAACACCCGTGGAAAATGACGAACAACATTAAAAAAAAAGTTCAAGATCCCAACGTGGAGCTACTGCCTCTAATTTGATGCTCTTCCATTTTAGAAAAATTCACGTCAACAGCACCTCTGCAAAACGCACGGACAAAAAATTAATAACCGGCGTTTTAAAATTTTGGCGACCATAATGACACAAAAAAAAAAATAGACGGAATAACAATACAAGGTACGAAAAATAGCCAAACATCATACAAATCCCTGTTGATCTCCCTGACGATCCTATCACCATCGCGACAAAAAGAGTTGATAACTTCAGCTACGAATTCAGGATTAGTAGCATCCTGGAGAGCCCGAACTTGGGAAAACTGATGGTCCAAAATTCCCTTCAACACAACAAGAATTTACAAAGATTGAAAAAAACGAATCAATGATGGGCTAAGTAACTAAACCAAAGAAATAAAGACATGTACCTCATCGATCATAGATTGCACAAAGTGTTTTAGCTCCCTCATGCGAGAAAACAATGACATTTTGGTGTTTCAGTTTCGCAAATGAAGCGTTTTTTTACTGCAAACTGACATATGCATTACTCTGGGATATATTTCAAGATCACGAGCAAAATATACATTATTATATAGCAATACATACATGAAATTGGCCATCCAAAGAAAGATGAACGATTTGACATGTTTAACAGGATACTTTAATCAAATAATTACAACTATTATTTTTTTTTACTCTAACCTTTTTAGTCTTTCCTATGTCGATCATAGACTCACAGCGAATAGTAACACTACTTTTTATATGGGATGTCTTATAGCTTTCCCAGCTTACTTGTTTCTCCTTTTCCTTTCCATTATTTCCCTCTTCTCTTTATTTTCTCTTTTCTCCCCATCCCCAATAGATGCACTAACTTTACTAAATTTTATCAAACTATTTCTTCACTACAAAAAAAAAAAGAGCTACCACAATAAGTGCACCACATGCACCATTGTCGACCACTCAAACCGACAATCCATATAGATCTACATCTACTTTTCGATCCATCAATATTCGGTAAATTTTAAAATGAAAAAGCATAAATTAACAATATTATAACCTGTATACTATAAAATAACCATAAACTTTGCTAATTATCCAAATTAAGTTGTAAAATATCAAGGTAAGTTCACATGAACTTTTAACGTGACCATCTGCAAGAAAAAACTTCAACTACAACTCTCCAAAGAGGACCATCTCCTAATATAGGCAGTTCTACGGTGCCCAGGGCAAAATCCGGGGTACGGGTAACCAGGGGCAAGGAAAATTACCAAAAGCATCACGAAGCATTTAAGCGTTTTTCATTGGACTTCAACCTAACTGTACCCGGTTTAATTATATCGATTAAGAGGTTAAACCCTATGGATACGACCCGCCGCCCTAACCAATTTCTAGTCCCTCATTCGTCTTGGAGGGGATGTCCCTTCTTAGTTCGAAGTTCGAACATAATCCTTTTATCATCGTTTCTGAAATCTGAAATCCTTTTTATCATTTGATCGACATTCGATTTAGCTCCCAATCCAATATCAAATCCCCAACATCATCATGTTTTGAACCCCAAATCTATGTATCCACGTTCGAAGAGAAGATCCCTTTTCAATCTAAAATCCCCACATAATCATCATTTTGAACCACAAATCCTTGTATCCACAATCGACGTTTTGTTCTTCGCCATTATATTTCCGACCGGAATTTACACAAATTGAAGATGAAATAAGCAACACAGTCTTCGACCTAATTGAGGAAGAAGATGAAGAAGACAGGATTTGATTCGAATCGGATGGAGAGGTCGCCTTAACTTGTGTTTATGTATTAACGGTGCATTTAGGACAAAGTCTAGTTGGGCTTTTAAATTCCCTTCAAAAGTGGGCTTGTGTACATGATCCGGATTGTGAAGAGGTTGGGCTTTTATTTACATATGCGCCTGCTTCTGCTTCTGCTTCTAAATCCTGACCATGTCTTGCGTTCACGCAATTTAAACACAATTATGTGTTCCATCTTTTTTTTTGGGATTCGGTAAATGGTAGCGTGTCTCTTTACACATTTATCGGTACGAGGTAAAAAACAATCCGCCCAATTTAACTCTTTATTAATTGCCCATATTCCACTCTCTCACTGTTTGCCCCTCTTGACATAACAAACCTCTTGTAAACCAATTAGAGGCTTGTGGTTGGATACTTAGTGAGGACATTTTTTAAATTTATGTTTTGAAACGAAAGTTAGAATTTCACTTTTGAAGTACTTGTGTACTTTACTTGGGCAAGTATTTTCAAAATGTAAAATTTTATCAGCGTATAGGTATGCGATTATTGTATAAGGTGTTTATGGTTAAGTTAATGATTACTGACTGGTTAGTGTATTAGGTTGTTGATGGTTTAGAGTATATGGTATATGGTATATGGGATGGTTTAGAGTATATGGTATATGGTTTAGAGTATATGGTATATGGGATGGTTTATAAGGTGTTGAATTGTTGATGGTCCAGAGCATATTGTATTGATTGATTCGGCTGAGGGTAGGTGTTGTTTTATTTTTCTCGATTTTATATTGTCTTAACATCTTCTTATAAATGCTGATCATGCCTTAGAAGTCACCGGAAATTTAGACATAATTATTGTAGCGTGTCTCTTTACACATTTATCGGTACGAGATAAAATGATTTGGTGTGTGCAAAGTAGGTTCTCATTAACGATTTTGCCATGTTGGTTATCCCGCCCATTAGCGATTCGTCACATATGGAATCAAAATTAGTTAGAGTTCTTAACTTCATCTTTCTTCATTTATTCTTTGACTTGAACCAACATGTCTTTGCTCCGAAGGATTTTGGGTGGTAGTGGCGTGCTAAAGACAATCCGTCCAATTTAACTCTTCGTTAATTCCCCCTTTTCTTTTCTTTTTTGGTAGAATAATTACTCCTTTTCCACTCTCTCAGTCCCCGCCGAAGTTGAAACAATCCCCTGTGATATATTTATCGTTCATTTTAACCCTTCACTTAATAAGAAAGCGAAATTATGCAAGATGGTCATCAATGTGATGTAGCTTAATTGGTTAATTGTCTGTTATTTGCTTAGTCAATAAAGTAGAGGTTTGTGGTTCGATACTTAGTGAGTATCAATTTTTAATTTATGTTTTGAAAAGCAAGTTATAATTTTAATTTATCAGCGTATAGGTATACGATATTGTATAAGGTGTTGATGGTTTAGAGTACATGGTATTGGGTTAGTGTATTGATCATCTCCATCCCTAAAATACGATATTGTATAAGGTGTTGATGGTTTAGAGTTTATGGTATTGGGTTAGTGTATTGATCATCTTCATCCCTAAAATTGAACAACAATTTCTAAACGAGGTCCCTACCACCACATCATCAATTTTAGCAATTCATCACTTAACAATTTCTATTCATCTACATCCCTAAATTATGCTAGCAATTGCCAAGGTGGGTTCCATTTTATATTTCAAAGGAAACACTTATTATAAATTGAAAGTTGGGGATGGAGATAGAAGAAGGTGTTGTTGGTATA